GTTTCACAATCCCCCCCTCATCCTACTTGTCATATCAGTCCCCATCCTCCTCCCCATCCGCTCGCTCTCACCACCATCAGCGGCGGAACTGATATACGCGTGCGCGTGCGCCAATGAGACAAGCATAAATGGGGCGCCGTCGTCGTCGTCCCGTTCCTCCTCCCCCCGCCATCCTCCTCCGCCTCCCCTTCTCGTCTCGAGTACGCTGCCTCGGCCATGCCGCAGTCCGACGGCTCCGCATTCCCTTTCCAGGGGAACCGAGCGAATCCCGCACTGCCCTCCCCGTTGGGGCGGTGACCTATGTGCGCTCGCGCAACATCTGACACCCACTCCGCTCACATCCCCATACTTGTGTACTTAACTGGATCGGGCAACGACCCCGTGCCATTACAAGTGTAAAATAGTTGAACGGGCGCGAGGGGGGGGAGATAGATGTGTATATATATATATATACATATATATGTATATATAGATAAGCAAAAGAGAGAGAGAGAGAGAGAGAGAGAGAGAGAGATGGATCAATGGAGGGAGGGAGGGACACGGATATGGGCGGAGAGGGAGAGGGAGAGCGCGAGGGAGGGGGATCACACCATATATATATATATACATACATGCATTGCTATATATATATATATATATATATATATGTGTGTACGTACAGGGAGACTGGATGGTGGGACCAGGTGATGAATGCCATCGCTTCTGCGGGCGCGCCTGGCATATCAATTATCGCGTACACGCCGCGCTGCTTGGTGAGAAAAATACGCGATACATATTCCACGGAGGGGTGAGGAAGGGCTTGCTTTACCTCGCGCAGGGCGAAACGATTGACAACGGCGAGAAGAAAGGCAAGACAGACCTGACTTGCGCATTCGAAGCTGCAGAAAACAGTGAAAGTGGGACGCCGATGAGGGGAATGTGGAGGAGGGAGGGGGCGGTATCAGCCAGAGGATGGGGAGGGCGAGGAGGAGGAGGAAAGCGCACATGAGGGAATACCATTTGGCAACACATCTGACACCCTGATCGTGAATGTTCGCCACGTCGGGCTGAACAGTTCGATAACTGTTCATAACTTGTTTTAAGTATTTCGTAACTCTTCCATAAGTTCCATAAGTGTTGTAAGACTTTGGCTCGCCTAGTAAATGCATTTATAACGCGTTACGACCAATATACTAACTTGTTGGTGGTGCACCGTATGTATGTTAGTAAGGTGGGCAGCTCTCTGCAAGCTGATATATGTTTGTTATAACATTTTTTTGTTATAAGATGCTACTAGGAACTTAGCCGACCTACAAATACACTTGGCCAGGTTATAACCTAAGTTGTCGAGATTATAACTTATCTTATAAACCACACAACCCGAAAACTCACAAAGTGGGGGTCGACGTGGCGAACAAAAGTCACGCCGTCGGGGGCCTGGGTCCGGAGCGCCCGGCGCGGGCGCCCCGAGCCGGGAGAGAGGCTTCCCCCCGCCAGCCCGCGCCAGCCCGCGCCGAAGGGGGGGCCCTGGGGCTAGCGCGCGCCTGCAGGGGCCTCGGCCACGCCCACCTGTGCGCTCCCCCCCTCGGCGCTCGCTATAGCCTCGGCGGCCAGCCGGGGGGGGGGGGAAGCGAGAGGGGGCGGGCCCTCTGGGAGGGCTCTCGGGAGTTCTCGGGCCCGCTGGAAGGCGTTCGAAGCCTGCGCCGAAGACGTATCGCAAAGAAGCTTCTCGAAGGCCAGAGGGCCTCTGGGAAGCCCTGCCACCTTCAGAGGAGGCCTTCTCCTTCTCACTTCCCCCCTCGCCCGCCGCCGAAACACCTGGCCTGGTCCCCGACCGACTCCACGGCGGAGGTTGAAGGAGCCCTGGGACACACAAATAAATACACACAAACAACAGGATTCCCCATCTGTTCCCATATTTTCTGGGTTGTTGTCTTCCCCCCACTTCCCATATTTTCTCTGGGGAATCGACGATTAATTGTGTGAGTGTGTGTTCTTGTTCCCTCCTGAAAGGTGGAAGCCTGGATATCAAATCCTGCTGCCCCCTAGGGCCCAAGGCCCGAAGGAGGCCCCCGGAGGCCCCCAGCGACGGATGGAGAGGACGGCGCTTGGACTGTTTGCGTAGATCTGTGGCTGCCATGACACTGGACACTCCAGCAATCCTATCGTTGAAGATGCCGTAAGGTGTAATTTAAAACATCCCATCGTTTGAAGATGTCGTAATGTCGTTGGGCACTCTAGCAATCCTATCGTCGGGATGTCCTATGGACACTCCAGCAATCCTATCGCTGAGTTTAACTACCAGCCTGGAACATATCCCTGTCCCTGTGCTGGGCATCTCCTCATCGCGATGCCAGTCTTAGGGAGTCCCTTATTTTTTGAGGGCGCGTCCCTAAGATTGTCATCGCTTTTTGGCGTGTCAGTCTTAGGAGTAAGGATAAGGTCGAGGCTGGTACTTAAAACATGTGTTCCAGATGTGTAGAACATGTTCTAAACATGCTTCAGACATGCTCTTTCAGATTTCAAAGCATGTTCGAAACATTTGCAGAGACCTGGAAAGTATCTGGCAGCACGCTTCCTCTCCATGACTCGACTTCCACAGACGTAGAAGTCCGCCACACGACTCAGGGCCCCCTGGGGAACCCTGACTTCGGATCCGCCGACCTCTGACCGATTTCGCAAGTACAGTCGCGGCGTTGACCTAAGGAACCCTAAGTAAGGAACGAGGCCCCTTTTTTCCATAGGTTAAACTTCGATTTCCGATCGAAAACATAAGGAAACCCTGAGGCAAGCTGTAAAACACTTACGGAACGCGGAGCCCCTCCCCAACGAAAAGGATTCCTTCTTAGGGCCCCGACTGTAGGGCGGAAATGTCCGCCCCACGTTTCAAGCTCCGTTGACGTCCACCTCTGCCCTACTTTGCCGCCGCTGATTCCGCCACGCCTATGGGGATATAGCAGCCCATACTTCTCTGAGACTGGCATTCCCGCCCTACTTTTTCGCATCGCTTGGGGTGCAGACAATCAACCCAGATTCGGCGAATCCGAAGTCAGGGGGTATCTGATCCCAAAGACCCTGCATTCCTTGCGATGCAACTTGGTCACGCTGGGCATTTTCGCCCGTGTTCGGGCCCTAGGACCATCACAGACCAATCCTGCTCGACGAATGCTGCAAAAAGCCGGGGCCTGGGGCTCCAGTCGTGATCTCTCGCGATGCTGCAGCTTTGTCCGCAACGTTGGATCTCCGGGTTCGCCTTCCTGGAGTCCTGGAGAGCGTCTGCTGCACACCCCGTGGGACGATCGCCGACATCAGCGCGCTTCTGGCCGAAGAACACCACTGGTGCTTTCGCGCCAGGCTGGCGCGGGCCGCCGCCACCGTGAACGCCCTCCTCCCCTGAGCCTTGTGCATGCACTCCGAGGCGCGCGGCCTCGCAGCACAAGGCGCAGATGCGTCTTCCTGAGATCTGACGCATTCACATCGCGAAGCATCACGACCTTCGTGGGCCCCGAAAAAAGGCAGGGCCGTTTTTTTCACCGTCTCCAAAAAAATGTCCCTTGAAAATGGAAAACGGCAAAAACACGGCGACCAGAAACGGAAACAAAAACGGCTCCAGGATTGGAACCGGAGCCGGAACCGGTTTAAAACAACGGGGACGGAGCCGGTAACAAGAAGCGGCGTCGGAACGCGGGCAAAGCAAAAACGGCAAAACGGAGCCGGTAAAAACAAGCGGCCCTGTCGCTTCCAGGGCCCGCGAAGAGATCACGACAGGAGCAGGAGGAGGAGGAGGAGGAGGAGGAGGAGGAGGAGGAGCCCTAAATAGACCCCATCTTTCTGCGGCAGCCGCCGGACGGGATCGGCCCGGGATGGCCCCGGGAGGCCGAAGCTGGGCGAGGGCGCCCGGTGCGGAGCACAGGCATGCAGCGCCTGGGCCCCGGGCCTCGGAGGTGGGGCCGCGCAGGAGGCGGGTCGGGCAAAGGGGGGGATTAGCAAAGGGGGGGTTTGAGCATCAGCTCACGCAGCTGATTTTCCCGGCGCCTCCCGGCGCCAGAGGCGGCCATGTGTCGAGAAATGGGCCCCTCGGTGGGGCCGAAACCAGCTGCATGCGGCAGATTACGTAACCCCCCCTTTCCCCCCCCCCCCCCCCCCCCTTTCGCCCGACCCGAAGGAGGCGCTGGCGTCGTGAGCGCAGGCGGCGGTGCAGCGGCAGTCGGCCACGGGTGCCAGAGTTTGGAGATCGAGGATCGAGGATCTCGATCCTCGATGCAAGGTCCTCGAGGATCGAAGCTTGAGGATGCAACAGAGAGGATCGCAGGTTGAGGATCGAAGGTTGGGGGTCGAATCTCTGCACCAGCGGAGGAGCAACGAACGACATGCACCATCAGCTTTCGGGGGTCGCTCGGATGCCTCGAGTCGTCGCGGGGCCCCGGCCCCCCCTGGCGGGCCCCGCGCGCATGGGGGGGCGGGCGGCGACGAAGCCCCCGCCATTGGGGGGGGGGGGTCCGGCGCCGACCCCGAGAGATCTGCGTGGACCTCCGATGCCGTGTCTCGATGGCAGTGCTTCGGCTTCGGCACCGCCCGTATCCGAGGCTAATGCCTCCTCTCGGACTCGCTCTGAGGCTCCGCCGCTTCCTCCCCCCTCTCCTCCGCCTGGTTCAGGCTTCGCGCGGCCCGCTTAGCTTCGACCGGAAGAGGTGCGCTCTCGACCCGCGGATCAAAAAAGTGTCTCGATGACAGTCAACCCGTATGGTCAGGACGCGCGATGAGGATGCAGGGGCCTTGGAAGGCCCGGATGCGAGGGCGGCCAGCGAAAGCGGCCAAGGACTGGCCGGAGGGGAAGGATGCAAGGGTAATTACCCTTGGGAAGGTTGCCCATCCTTACTAGGCGGGTTGACGGCACTTGTTCCTCCAATGTTGGTTCCTCGATGATTTGTTCTCGAAGTGGAAATTTACAGCGTTTGTTGTCCCTCGGCTCGAAGCCGCTCGCTGGGGCTCCGTCGCAGGTGCGGCGAAGGGCGGGCAAGGCCTCGTCGGTCGCGTTGCAGGCGCGCAGGGTGGCCGAGTGCGTGCGGCAGTGGAAGACGGCGGCTCCCACGTCGTGGGACTGGAGGTACAGCTGGTACATCCTGGGCCAGGCGGGTGCGCACCCCAGCGCCACGAAGTGCCGTTCGATCAGGCCCCGGGGCTTGAGTGACCAGGAGATCTGGGCGTAGCATTTTTTCCGCGCAAGGCGTCTTTGCCGGGATTCGGTCCCTGAGGGCATCACGAATCGATCCGGTGCGACAGACAAATCAAATCTGGGTGGGGATCCGGTCGTGATTTTGAGCGATGTTGAATGTTTCGCAACGTCTGATCTGAGGAAGCATCCAGGTCACCATGAGCAGCTGCTCTCCGTGGCCTTACCAGACGCGTCTCCTTCAGGCGATCACTCCATGTCTCCTCGGGGGCATCTGGAACAAGACTGGACATCCGATAACCAAAACAATACCGAACAATAGCATAACGAAGAGAACCAGCAACCTTGACTCTCCATGCGGCGCGAAAACATGTTACAGATACATGGGAACTGCCACGTTGTTGCAACAAACACATGGGATCGAATGTGGCGCGAAAGACGAGAACCGAGTTTCGGAACACGACGGGGCACTCCTGGGGACAGCACGTCTAGTTCATTCCAGCTTTCGAACACTACCCAACGACCATGTCTGCTGCAATACCTGACACTGTCTAATGTCCCTACGTACCAGCTTTCCGCGCCAAAATTGCGGCCACATCCTGGCAACGCCCCGCGCTCCCTCCCGACGCCCCTCCTGATGGTAATATGGTTGCAAAGCTCCATCCGCTCCACAACATCCGCGACCTTTTCGGAAGGGAAAAGAGAATGGATTCATGGAGGCTGGTAGGCGACAGGAGCGATTATCTGGGCGACGTCGGCTCGAGATCCTGACCTCCTTCCACCTCGAGATACGCGAACGCGTACGCATTGAAAAACAAACGGAGGAGGAGGAGACGAGGCAAGAGGAGGACGGATATGGAGATGCTGCTCCTGGCCATCGCTCGGACGTCCATTCCCCGTGCCTTTTTTCGGCCTCGTGCGTGCTTCTTTCGCCAAGTGATCAAGGATGCTCCCCGATGGCCCTCGCCAAAGGAAAGATGCACACGTCCGAGCAGTGCCATGCCAAGGTTCGGCCACGCGGCCATGCGCTCCGCCGCCGCAGGCCGGGTGGGGCGAGCCCCACCCCACCGCTCCGGTCCGGACGCCCCAGCCTCCAGCACCAACACCTCCCTCCTGCTCCTCCTCCTCCCTCCTCCCCCTCCTCCTCCTCCTCCTCCTCCTCCTCCTCCTCCTCCTCCTCCTCCTCCTCCTCCTCCTCCTCCTCCTCCTCCTCCTCCTCCTCCTCGTTCCTCCTCCTCCTCCTCCTCCTCCTCCTCCCCCTCCTCCTCCTCCTCCTCCTCCTCCTCCTCCTCCTCCTCCAGCACCAGCACCTGGGGCGTCCTCCCGGCACGCGGAGCGGCCTCCAGGCCGGGCCTCGCGGACCCGGGGCGCGTGCCGACGTGGGCCGCGCCCCGGACCCCCTCGAGTAGTGAAAAAATCATGGCGGGAGGCTTTTCGCCATTTTCGGCCCCTGGGGGCCCTCGCCGGGCCTCGGGAGCGTCAAAAAACGACTCAGGATGACAAACCGGTCCTGGGGAAGGGGTCGAGAACTCTGGGGTCGACGTATAATGAAAAAATCATTACGTCGGGGGTCGACCGGGCGGTCGCACATGGACCCTGCCGTGGCGGCTCTCGGTGGAGCTCCCGATGGACCCCCACGAAGCCTCGCAGGGCCACGACACGCGTGACGGGGGGTGTGCCGGGATCTCTCGCGCGGAGGCATGCAGTCTTCCGGGGCGGCAGAGAGGGGGGTGTCCAAGGGGGGGGGGGGCGCAAATCATGACCGGCGGCATGTGCGCGGCCCAGCGGGGGGGCCAGGGACGTAATGAAATAAGAAGAGGCGCCATGAAATCTGGGGAAATATCATGGCCCCCGCCATGATATCCACCCCCCCTAGTCATCACCCCCTCTTTTCCGCCCCCGAGTAGTCCCTGGCTGGCATTGGGGCCTTCGGTGGAGTTCCCATATGGGGGCCACGGAACGTGTGAGGGTTGTCCCGGAAACGCACGTAAACCTTGCCACAGGGGGCTTCGGTGGAGCTCCCTCTGGGGCCATGTAACGTTTGAGCGGTGCGCCAAATTGCGTCGCGCGGACGCATGTAAACCCTGCCACTGGGGTCTTCGGTGGAACCCCTTTCTGGGGCCACGGTAAAACGTGTGAGGGGTATGGTGAACTCAATCACGCAGACGCATGCCAACTCTGCCGTTGAGGCCTTCGGTGGAAATCCCGACAAGGCCACGAAACGTGTGAGGGGTGTGCCGGAATATTTCGCGCGGGCGCATCTAAACCCTCGGGGGCCTTCGATGGAGGTCCATATGGGGCCACGAAGCGTGTGAACGGTGCGCCGAAATTGGTCGCGCTCTTTCGCGCGGACGCATGTAAACCTTGCCACTGGGGCCATCCGTGGAGGTTCCTATCGGGCCACGAAGCGTGTGAGGGCTGTGCCAAAATGGGTGGCGCGGACGCATGTGAACCTTGCCACTGGGGCCTTCGGCGGAGCCTCCTATCAAGCCACGAAGCGTGTGAGGAGTGCGCCTAAGTGTGTCGCGCGGACGCGCGTAAACCCTGCCACCAGGGCCTTCGGTGGAGTTCCTCACCAGCCACGAAGCGTGTGAAGGGTGTGCCGGAATCTACCGCACGGACGCACGTAAACCCTACCAGTGGGGCCTTCGGTGGAGCTCCCCATGGGGCTACGAAGTGTGTGAGGGGCGTGCCAAACTGGGTCGCGCGGATGCAAGCCCTGCCACTGAGACCTTCGGTGGAGCCCCCCTTGCAGGGCCACGACACGTGTGCGGGGAGCGCCGAGGGCAAGACGCAAGAGTGAGAGGAGGCAGGGAATGGAGGAGGAGCACGAGGAAGGAGCTGGAGAAGGCGTGGACGTGGGGCGCTGTCTTCTCACAACGAGTATCCAGCACCCAGGATGGTCAGGAAAAAGTAACTTGGCGAAGGACCCAACCATATGCAGCTGTGAGCACCGTCGTCGTCTGCACCGCATTCGGTGCATCTCCCTATGGGGCCACGAAGCGTGTGAAGGGCGTGCCAACATGGGTGGCGCGGACGCATGTGGGCTACGCCACTGGGGCCTGCGGTGGAGGCTCGGTATGGGGCCACGAAGCGTGTGAGGGGTGTGCCGACATGGGTGGCGCGGACGCATGTGGGCACTGCCACTGGGGCCTTCGGCGGAGCCCCTATAAGGGGTGTGTCGAAATCGGTGGCGCGGACGCATGTGGGCACCGCCACCGAAGCATTCGGTGGAGGCTCGTTATAGGGCCACGAAGCGTGTGAGGGGTGTGCCAACATGGGTGGCGCGGACGCATGTGGGCTACGCCACCGGGGCCTTCGATGGAGCTCCCTATGGGCACCGCCACAGGGGACTTCGGTGGAGCTCCCTATGGGGCCACTGGGGCCTTCGGTGGAAGCTCCAACTGGGGCCACGAAACGTGTGAGGGGTGTGCCGACATGGGTGGCGCGGACTCATGTGGGCACCGTCACTGGGGCCTTCGATGGAGCTCCCTATGGGGCCACGAAACGTGCAAGGGGTGTGCCGAAATGGGTGCCGCGGACGCATGTGGGCACCTCCACTGGGGACTGCGGTGGAGCTCCCTATGGGGCCACGAAGCGTGGGAAGGGAGTGCCGAAATGGGTGGAGGAGGAGGAAGAGGGAGGCGGGGGAGGAGGGGGGGGAAGGAAGGAACGCGGGGCGCTGTCTCAGGATGGTTGGGAACACAACGATTGAAAGAGGAGAACGTCGGGCATCAGTCGCGCACGCAGTCGCGCATCTCCGTTGAAAGAGAGGAGGCCATCGCACGGACGAGGCGGCGTGTGGGGCGGGCAGATCATAAACAAGTTTGCTGGCCGCGCGTGCGTACCTGGCCAGAGCCCCCCCCAGGAAGGAGTAAGCCAACAAGGGGCGATGGTATACGCCCTACCGCAGGAGATTTCCCTACAGCCTGTTGGGGACAGGGCGTGAAACGGTATTTACGCCAAGCGCAATATTTCAATGCCACGATGCGCGGCCTGCCGCCCAGGCCGACACACGCACACACACACACACACACACACACACACACACACACACACACACACACACACACACACACACACACACACACACACACACACACACACACACACACACACACCACACACACACACACACACACGCACACACACAGACACACACACACACACACACACACACACACACACACGCACACACACGCACACACACGCACACACACGCACACACGCACACACACACACGCGGTGCACAACAACGACCTGCTCTGCAAGCCCTGA